GGTTAAAAGAATCAGTTGAGAGAGAACAACTTCTGGGTACTGGTTTTAGACACCATTATCCCTTCACGACTCTTAACCATTAAACCCTTTACGTACGGGCATGCTTGTTTAGTGCCATTCATGGATCCTGTCCCAAGCCGATCATGTTAAATACTGTTTTTTTTGTGGTGAGCGCGGATAAGATATAAAAGCTATGCGTAATTTGGTGATTTTTGAGAGCCTTCCATGAATTGTACTGGTCAGTACTATGTACAAGTAGGGTCAACCCTGCATTGCGTCGTTCCCAACGGATGGGGCGGGTTATGTGGTTGGTGAAGGTCCTTATAAAGGTGGGGTCGGGAACCTCTCCTCTCCCTCCCTCCTTTCCTTCCTCCCCCTCCCCACATCTCCCTAACGTTGAAAAAAAACGACCTTCACTCCGATTTCCCAAGATTGAGACAGCGGACGGTTGACCCTGCCTTTAACAGCGTTAGACGTGTATACTTCACAGCTATACTAAGGTAATATGAAAAGCTGAGTTGGGATGAAATGGTGCCCCGGTAGCGTAACTGGTAGCGCACTTGCCCGGAAAGCGAGAGGTGCGGGTTCTAGTCCCGCCTGGGGCGAAAGTTTTGTTCACAACCCAGCATTCTTGTGAAACATTGCTAATTTTTTTGTTGACGCTCTTTACCTCGTTCCTTTTACAAATCATTTGTTTCCTAACCTGAGAAAAATTTAATATCTTCTAGGTGGATACTGACCGATGATGACGACAACACGGCCGATTCGTCATGTGCTCTTACCGTACGACTTCCAGACAAAGAGCCAAAGATCATCAAGGGACTTGGTGATCGTACCGTACCGGTTGGCCTGCCGACTATCTGGGAAGTGGAGGTGAGGCCCTGACGGATTCGAATCGAATTAATTTAGCAGGAATATTAAATAATGACTTCCTTACCCTGACTTCTCATTCAGTCACTTCTTATGGACCGCACCCTTTATCTTCCTTCACAACTTTTATCAGTCGAATTTAGACCGAAGGATCCCCTCGAACTGTTAAGTGGTACAAGAACGGTAAAGAACTGGCTGGTGCTGCTGCAGCGCAAGTGAAAATCTCGAAGATCGACGACAACCACTACGTGCTTGAGGTGAGGAGAAGGGGCGGAGCTCTCTCAGGATTGCGTTAATTAATTCTCAATGAATCGAATCTGTTCAGATTCCCAAATGTGCTGTTGGTGACCGGCGACTAAAAAATCGAGTGAAAAGATAGCGGCAAGCTAAGCCCGCAGGTGAGTCTAAATATTGAGAACACACCGAGTCGCGTTTGTTTGAAGAGCTTTCGTTGTTTGATTTAATTCACGCCGACTTTTCAGCTCACTGTGGAGCCGCAGTTGACCTTCCTCAAGCCACTCAAGGACCAAGAGATCACCGAAGGCGAAAACGCGGAGTTCCAGGTGGAAACAAATGCCAAGCCGAGAACTGTCAAGTGGTACGTGTACTTTTGGAATCTAGTATTTGCTGCTGGATAGCTGCCTAAAGCAGCGCCAATTGTCCTTCGGGCCAGGAATGACTTCGGTTGAGGGGGGGGGGTCGTAGAAATTGCATTGAGAAAACTGATGTTGACCTTGACTCACGTGATTGACAATTTTTCTGACCAAGATCTTGGAATGGTGTAAATCCTCAGCTTCCTCCTGCATATCAAATAGGCATCTTAAGCCTTCATTTGCAGGTACAAAAACGGCCAGAGATCGCTCAGATCTCGCTCGTTATTACGCGAATAAGATGAACAGGAAGCGGGAAGAAGAGACCAAATACAAACTGGTCATCAAGAATGCTACCAGAGAAGATGCCGCTGAGTATAAGGTCAGTCCAAGAGGACTATTTGTTCCAAATTATCTTTTCCTATCAACTTGATGTTTTTCCTCCTCGAATCCGTTTGACCTTTCTTACCCAGTGCCTCTTCAGGTGGTACTCACCAACTCAGCTGGCGACGCCGATTCATCAGCGAAACTCACAGTCAAGAAGGCTAAACCAGGAATCCCGAAGATCATCAAGGGTCTTGAAGACCAGGTGAGCTACTATTTGGTGAATTCACAGATTATGGCAATTTTGGTAGTCCCAACTGGTATTGGATAGGTAGATTTTCGCTTGCTCCATCCTGCGAGCTTATTCCCATCTAAACCAAAACGAACTCTCTAGAAATAGATAACTGCGACCTCAAGGTAGGCTTCAGAGGCTAAGGCCTGAGGGGAGATTTAGAAGAAAAGCTGATGATCAGATTTTAGCAGCAGATTCAAAGAACTCTTCTCAACACATCTTAGGGGGTGATTCAATACGACATTTCGGAATGAGGTAACGTTCTGTTTACATGACACGTACTACAACCTTCGTCGAATCTTGAATATTCAAAAAAAATTTTAAGCTAATTTCGGTCCTTTCCGTCGTCGTTGAGCTGAATCGCACTTCACGAAGGATGCTATTTGTCAAATGTCTACTAAGAGATAGTCCTTATCATTTTACCTTACCCAAAAAATAATTAGTCGTTCAGGTAGTGGCTAAGGGCGCTTCATTGGTGTTCGAAGTGAAAGTCGAAGGTGAAGTGGACGAGCTGCGCTGGAGTAAAGACGCCACACCTATCACAGCTGGAGCCAATGCTATTATTGAGAAGATCGATGACAAGACGTGAGTGAAAGCTTGTTGATTTATGGATAGAAGAGGTGTACTAAAAATTTGTTTAGCTTGAAATACCTCCAGAAAGAGTTAGCAAATATTTAAAGCTGTTTTAATTTGGGATGAAAGAATACTTCAGAAATTCGGTGAAAATGGAGTGTGGTGGGGAGGGGTGGGGAGGGAGGACACTCCTTGTTATCTAATCCTTAGTACTAGAGAGTGCTTCTATGAACTCTCCAACACAAGGATAAGAGAACAATTTCACGGCTCATTTGTGGTGTTGTTTTGATAAGGGCCAGACCCATCGTTCCCACATCTCACCCCTATTGTTTGCACCTGGTCATCCACCCTAGAGCTCCTCCACCCGTAAGCCCAGGCAAATGTCCATTCCCTGGTCGAGACCCTCTTTCCATATTATGGCAGGCGGAAATTTACCTGTTTTCAGTTACCGATTGACGATTCCCAAGGCAGATCTGGGCGATGCCGGTCACTACTCTGTTGAGGCAATCAACGAAACTGGAAAAGTACGTTACCACAAATTCTTCAAAGGTTTTCGACCCTGATGTTTCAGCAATTCCGTCTTTTAGGCCGCATCTGACGCCTAAAGGAGAAGTGGACGAAAAAGCCAGAAATCGTCAAAGGACTTACAGATGTGGAAGTTTCTGAGGGTGATGATGAAGTGTTCAAGGTGGAAGTCTCGGCACCAGTCAGGACTGTGAAATGGTATGTCACATCGTGAAATGAGGCCAGTTGTCCTTAAATGGGATCAAAATGGCGGTTTCAGGTACAAAAATGGTCAAGAGATCAAGCCGTCAGTACATCTGGAGCCAAAGAAGATCGGACCAAAGAAGTACGAACTCACCATCAACAGAGCCGTAGCTTGACGATGGCGCCACCTATAAGGTATCTTTTGGCTGCACGGCTTGCTAATCAATAACGATCGATTATTGATTCCAGGTGGTACTTTCGAATAGCGCCGGTGAATGTGATTCGTCAGCTCAACTGACAGTGACGAAGCCGAATATCCTGAAAATGCTACAAGGTCTTAAAGACATTGACGTCGAAGAAGGCCAGCCAATCGAATTGAAGGTGGGTCCTATAGCGAGTTCTGACCTGCAACTGATCACTGCCTCTGATTCTCAAGCTGAATCTTTGAAATTTCAGGTAAAAATCGAAGGAACCCCGAAAACCGTCAAGTGGTACAAAAATGGTGTGGAATTGGCACCAACCGATGCGGAGCTGGTGAGTGCAGCGATGAGTTTCCTGGTAATCAATTAAAATCGATAATTGATTTGCAGAAGGAAAGTCCCGAAACTGGCGAGTATTCGCTGGTCATTCCGCAATCAAAGAAGAGCGATGGTGCCGCCTACCGTATCACTCTGGCCAATGACAGGGGTGAGATCTACAGTGGCGCTGTGGCACACGTCAAGGTAAGTGCTCAGGGTTAAGTAAGGGGATCTGACTGGTAATCCCCCTTATTCCATTTGTGGCTTAAGAAACATATTAGCGCTAAACTGCGATTAACTTGCTCTTCTTGTAGGTGCCGAAAGCCAAAGAGGTCACAACACCGGCCAATTTCCTCTCACCACTGGAAGATACCGAAGTTGTGGAAGGAGAAACGCTCACGCTGAAATGTGTTGTAGCCGGTGAACCATTCCCGACCCTTGTTTGGTAAGTGAATAGGTTCTCTAGTTATCGTTTCCCAATTGAAAAGCGTTATCGATTATTTTGATGGCAAATCTCGCACTTCAGGACCAAGGACGGTGTGGAGCTGGAGAAAGACGAGCGAGTCACGATGCGTGTCGCTCTTGATGGAACAGCCACGCTACGTATTCGTGACGCACGCAAATCAGACTTCGGACAGTACCGTATCACCGCCAAGAACGACAGCGGAACAGAGTCCAGCAGTTGTCAGGTACGACCTGCTTTCGTACAAGTATAACAGGGTTTTGGGTTAGGTGATGGTCTGAGGGCTAAGCTCGCTCCCTTCGGACCCTCCCTGCAAAATTTAACTTGAAATTGGAATCGATGTTTTTCAGGTAACCGTCAAGGACAAGGGCGAAGAGCCATCCAAACCACGTTTCATCATTCCACTGAAATCATGTGAAGCTGAGATTGGTGAAAAGAAGGAGTTCGAAGTGAAATTGCGAGGATTCCCCAAAAGCCCAACTCTTTTGAGTGAGTGAAGTATTTCCCGAGAAATACATTGGAAAATCGGGCCGAGCACTCCAGCAAAGGGGTTTGGGGCTCTAATAATGGCGCAGGATAGCGCAGGTCGATCCTGAGGCCTGAAGGTTGTGGAAGTGCGAAGTTCTTTGGTGTTACAAAAAGGAGTTGCCATGATGGTCCAAACACTCACCTTCGTACTCATATTATTCTCATACCGTTTACTTGTAGAGGCAAAAGCAACTGTTTCAGTTCCCTATTCCCCACTAGACAGGTTTAATTCTAAATTTACCCGTTATTTAAAAGGCTACTGAAACGAGGTACCGATAAACATTCGACGACGTGTAGCGTTGAAGACCTTGCGCTGGAAATAGCTGCCTCAACCATCAAGATGTAAGAGTCTATATTCACAGAGTTCAACACGGTTAAGAGGCATACTAGCTGGAGCGGCCGATGAATTCTCTATAGAAAGACCAGCAAGGCAATACAACTAAGCGCTCTGGTAAGCGTCGTAAAATCCATGCGCCAATTAGGGTGCCGTTTTGGGCCATTCTGCTGAATCCAGCTCTATGCTATTTAGAATATTTACATTTTGTTCAGATCCAAGAATCCGATTTTGCGTTCGCTTGCACATTGCCTCAAACGAACTCGCACGCAAGCTGCACGCGACAACTTCGGTCAATTTGGTGAGTCTGCAAATGAAGTCTGACTCCACAACCGGCAGTTGCGGGCGTCAGGAGGCCAAACGAGTCTGATATTCCGGCACATGTTCGAACACGGGGATCGCATTTGCGATTTAGGGAGAAATACGATCACATTTAGGGTTGAGAAAGGGGAACCATATTCGGGAAAAGTGCGAATAGGTATTTGATTGCGGGGTTTTGATGATGTGGTAAAAACGTCGTCGAATAAGATTAAGCGTTATTGGAAGTTTTGCCGCTTCTTCGGACATATTTGAAAGGGGGGGGGGTCGTATTGGGGTGATTTACCTATGAATGATATTTATGGTGATGGCCACATCGAGACAACCCTGAAGGATGCAGTCGCAAAAATTCTGTAACCGCGGAAACGCGACGGTGTTCTGCGCAGAATGATTCCCTTCCTTCCATCAACGAACTGACAGGGAGATGTCCTCTAGAACGAGGCTGGTAAAGGCACTATGGGAACCTCTGAAAATTCCCACACCACCGCTGAGGCAACGCAACACGAATGGCTGCAGCCTTTAAGACAATCCGTTAGAAAGCAATATATAGGGAAGGAATCATCCAAGCAAATCCTCGTCTCTACGGCGTTCGTGGGTCCTTTCTCAACCTAATGACTACGCGTAATTTTCCACACAATCCTGATTATTTCTAGCAATAAGGACACACGCCCTAAAGTCGGGCTCAACCGTGGAAGAGCTGCTTCGTGAGCGTGATTAATCATAAGAAATCTAGACTACTCACTCATTTGTGAACATCGTCCAGGTCCACCGTGCTGGATCTGATAAAGGTGACGACCGTACCACCAACCGGTTCAACCTATTCATACTAGTACACGACGTAATCCCCCGAATCAAAACCGATCCTCCTTGCCAATCGAATGCCAATGTGGGATGCGAAACCCACGTGCTGAACTGAGTGGTTCAAGGACGGTAAGTGATCTTCCAGAATTGCTCATATTTATTCTCCCATGGTTTCGCTAAATATGTAGTGCTTGTTTCAGGAGTAAAATTGGAAGCTAGTGAGGGTATCGAAATTCGAAACACCTCTGATGGAGCCTGTCGTGTGCGAATCGCCAAATTCGGAAAGGAAGACGTCGGTGTCTATCTGTGCGTGGCCAAGAATCCACTCGGTGTGCCGGCCAAGGTCGATCGTATGTCTGTGAAGGTGGGCTGTGCCATGAAAAGTTTTTGAAAAGCGAAAGCGTTTTGGCCACACATCTTTTCGCATAACGCTGACGCTGAAGCACAGCTGAGCTGCGGTTTCAACACGTTGAGAATCGCCGAATGTTTTACGTTTTACGGCCGCTTGGGACTTCAGTGAATTTTTTTTCAGAATCTTATCAAGCAAATTGGAAACTAAAACCTGTTGAATGTTCAGAAAAAAATCTTATTGGATCAAATGGGAAGAAAACAAATGAAAAATCCCCTTTTTGGGGAAAAATACTTGTTTCCAAAAAAATATATATCGCGGTCGTAAGGTCCTACACGGTTGTCAGACTGCAGCACACATATGGGCTCTTGGGCTCCAATGGTGTTAAATTAGACTCAGTTCGAGGATAATGGGCATGGTTCAGAGCGCTAAGCTCTGCAGATCAGTTTTTTTCAATAGTTGATAGTTGATAGTTGATAGTTTTTGAAGGGATTGTCGTCCTCTAGGCTTTCTGCTTGGGAGAATCTTATAGTTGCCCAGACGATCTTCACGGCAAGGCTACCTAAAAGCTTATAGTAGTCCCATTCTAACCCATATGGTGATTTTTTGAACAAAAGAAGATTTTCAGTGATGGAAAAGGAGGAAGTAGTAGAAAAGAACGAGTACGCTCCACGATAACCGGCAGGACTCGAAAGACAGAAAACTGTGAATCTTGGCCCAAAGCATTTCCGCTCACCTGCACTGTTGACGGCGATTCCTAAGCCAGCGTAAGTTTGGAGATTCTCCCCTTGGATTTCCTTACCCGAGTTCTCAAAACCACCTCTCCAGCTTTGGTAAAGGCAATCACGTATCCTGAAATCCTCCAACATATTCCAGTGGAATGTGTATAAATTACTTGTTAAGATTATCTGTGTACAAAAAAGACGGTCTACACTTCGTCTCAGAGTTGGTCGTTCACCATCACCACAAACTGAGGAACGGAAAGTGCTCACTGACATCAAGCCAAGCTGTTGAAGTCCGCAGCTCCTTGAAATTCCCTCCGTATATCCGGCTGCGGAAGGCCCATGCTATCAAAATATCATGCTCATTTCAGGTGATGAAGGCGCTTATCGATGTGTGGCCTCAAATGAACACGGATCCATCAACACCGGTTGTATGGTCACAGTCAAGGTGCCAAAGGCTGAGGTCTGTCATATGCTTCCAGTGTTTCACACGTTTGTCGAAGAGCAAAAATTATTTTAATTGGCAGGAGCAGAGGCAAATTTCAGATGTCATGCCAGCATAGAGCTTAGAAGGTTGGCCACCTCAAGTTTCCTGGGAACCATCGACTGCAAACAAAAATAAAAACCGCTGTTTGACTCATTGGATGTGCTACTCTTGACTCCATTGTATTACCGTAATCAAATCGCATTAATTTCGAAGGGAATACATTACTGAGTAAAAACTACTCAGGAGGGGGAACATAGGCTGCCACGCTTAACTTACTGATGACAGTCCCGTGTGCTGTACGACATTTTCCCGAATCTAAAACTAATGCTACCCGCTCCCGAATAATCCGTTACTGGTAATAGCGATAATATTTTCTGGATGATACTGTAGACGAGCTGCTTCCTAACGTGAAAAATAAGTAAATCGACCACAACGATGCCATTCGTGTGAATCTCATACGCATCATGCTGTCGTCAATGTGGTAAAAAAAATGGACTTAAACATCTTCCGACGGGGTGAAAATCGGATTTGTCGACGACTCGTCGAAAATGTTTGCCGATTCAGTCACGCACTTCTCCAGCGCGGGCATTCCTCTCGGCATGCGCGAGCTGTCTCTGCTCTCCCACACACGCCGCACATTTAACTCGGACTCCAATTTTCACAAGTACAGAGCATGATCGAGGATTTCCTTAATTGCTATTCACCCGCCTTCTGGGGAGAAGTGTGGCGATTACCGGCCATTACTAAATTAGGCCAGCTCGTCCGGAGCAATCCAAAATGCTTCTGCTTTCGCGAGCGTAATAACTTCTCTGTGGTAACAAGTTTAAAAACGAAATCTCCTTTGTAGCAACCTCAGTATACTGGTGTTGCTAATCTTCTGAGGTGGCGCAGTTTGGCCTTACTATTGAGTGTTGGCCTTCCACGCTAGTCTGTTGTGGTTGGAAAACAAATCCTCTGATTCCAGTTCATGCTGTAACTCGACTAAATTTTGACTACATTGCGATTCATGGATACCTATTCACATTCAGGCAAAGAAAGAAGGCGAAGAGCCGTTCTTTACCAAAGGACTTGTTCGACATTTGGACCGATCGTGGTGAATCATTCACGTTGAAATGCGCTGTTCAAGGCGATCCCTTCCCGGAGATCAAATGGTAAGTAGGCTGAAAACCCGCTGATATTATATAAGTTTTTTGGGCTATGGAACTAAATACCTGCACTTTCCTACCGCAATTTCCAACCTGGCTAGTTTTTCATCGTCTGAGCCAATTTTTGATCAACCCCGATTTTGTCCAGGTACCGCAACGGAATCCTGGTACGTGACTCTCCAAGGACGACGATCGAAACGTCTGCGGATGGCAGCTGCACCTTGACAGTAAAGGAATGCACGATGAGTGACGAAGGTATCTACAGATGCGAAGCTGAGAACAAGCACGGAAAGCAAAAACCCAGCTAGCAAGCATGTACCGGGTGAAGTTATCAAGATTCTGCCAAATTCGGCAGCTTATTGCAATACAACCTTTCAGTCTCACTTGGCAAAGGCGATATGCCGAAACTCGAAATGGGATCACCTCCAAGGTTCATCATCCCTCTCGAAGACCAGACAGTTCTCATCGGTGGAGTTATCGATCTCGAATGTAAGGTCACCGGAGAACCGATGCCGCAGGTGAAATGGTCCAAGGATGGTGGCCCAATTTGGGAAGACTCACGTTACGAATGGGACATCGATGAGGCAAAGGTGAGTACCATCTCAAAGCAGCTCTGGGAGAACTACGGTGGCTCAAAAATCTCCGCAACCCCTTGAGTTTTGATAAAGAATTTGTTAAATGAATGCAACCAGCATGACTAGTTTAAAGCACCGACCTAGTAATTTTTTAACTTGCTTTAATTTTAGGGTATCTACCACCTAAGAATAAAATCCGCCACAGTGCACGACTGAAGGCACCTACCGATGTGTTGCCACCTAATGAGTCCGGCTCGCCACCAACAACATAAATCCTTCACTCGCATTGATGGTGAGTGATTTCCGACACTTGTCTGTTTTCCAAGAACGGCGATTTTAATCGACATCAATTCTTCCTCGTGATGTAAAGGAGTTCTTGAAGCAGGATGGAAAGTAGAGATGTTTCCTCTCTGTTTTTCCCCGTATTTCTGTACTTTATGGAAGTTCTGACAGAATTTGGGCGGAAGTGGTGTAGTGACAAGTGGCACGCTTACCACGCGAGCGGTCCGGGGATCAAATCCTGGGTCGTGAGTCGCCCGGGCCAACCAAGCCTTCCATCCCTCCGGGGTCGGTTAATTGGTACCAGACTTGTCTGGGAGGATAAAAACACTGACTTGTACATCGGCTGGCCCCCGCAAGTCATTGTATAGGCCACATCGCATTCAAACGCCACTACGAATGTACAAATGGAAGTAGAATGCGTGCCGCATCCCAAAAAGGGATTGATCAACGGCAAATGCTTTATCCTTTATCCTTTATTTTTATCTTATCCTCTCTCTCTCTCCCTTTCGAGAATCTTCCTATCAAAAGATTTACACGATCGCAGAAAGAAGTACTAGAAGAGAGCCTGTGCAATTTCTAACTAATTTTTTCTAGAAACCTGCAATAAAAATCTCACTAAATCAGTTTCCTACCAAACCTAGTATAATGTTCATTTAATTAATGAAATCTAGGGCACTATTTATCATTTAGTTCTCACTTCGGGACACTTTAGAAACTGAGCTGGATTTTTTTTTTCTCGAATGAGTAATGGACGTGGATATGGCTGAACAGAAGACCCACTAATGGTACTATCCACTCAGCAGTGATTTCGCATATTTGGCGTGCAAATGGCGTGCCGCTCGCGCGACAGGCGCCGGGGGTGAATTGGACCACCCAGTTTGCTCAAGGGGTATTTTATATAGGTGAAGCCGAGTATCAGATGCGTAGTTTTGCTTGTACTCGGACGCCAAAGGAAACAAAGTTCGTATTCTCTTAGTCGGACTTCTATTCTCCTCAGCAACATCTCGTCCCTTATTCACAAATTTCGGGAAAAATTTAGCTCGTTTTTTGAAGTGTGGGGCAGGAAAGGTAAAGGTCAGTACTAAATTATAATTTTCATATTTTCCCTCAAAGTTCACTATTAATAATTTTCCCTGCAGTTTTTTTTTTGCGAATTGCCTCTACTGAACAATACATACTCGCCTCAATGGTTTCTCTTGCAAGCTCCATCAATAGAGCATTCCGCCGGCGATTCCCCACAATCAAGCTTGGTGATCGCCCCGTGGCCGGAAGACAACCGCTGCGATTGGAGTGCAAGGTGGAGGGTTCACCGCTGCCTGAACTGACTTGGAACAAGGATGGCGTTCAGGTGAGTCGTGACTTCTCCCACATTTTAAGTAAGTAGCTGATTCTCTTCGATTACAGATCCAGAGCCCCGATCGCCAATACAGCTTCAGCAATGGAAGCCGGATGGTACTCGCCGCGCTGTTATTCCACAGAGTTGTTGGATGTGAAGGTATGAAGATTATACAGTCAGCCGCCTGTTTGGAGCCTCCTTTTTAGTCCTATTTTGATCTTCAACATTCAGGAATTTACCGAGTAATTGCCACTAACCCCTCTGGTACTGTCCACGACAAAGGTACCGCCACCATCAAGAAAGCTCCTCGTGACCGAGAACGATCAGCTGAACGTGATGAATTCGACGCTAATAAAGTCCCGAGAGTTGTCGATCCGCTCGAAAAATGTCAAGGTGAGAAGAAGCCTGCAGGTGGAATATTGATTCCCTCCAAAAATCGATAATGCTTCAGATCCCTGAGAAACAAGGATTCCGACTTCGCTGTAAATTCAGTGGTGAACCAAAGTTGTCTATCAAATGGTTCAAAGATGGCGAACGAGTCTTCCCGTATGGAAGGCTGAAGCTGGTGCGTATACCTTTCAGTTATCGATTAATCTTATCGATTATTGATTGTTGGTCATGGAAGCTTATAACTGAATTGGGTTTCTTACAGTTGGAATCACCTGACGGCGTATGCGAGTTGGTCATTGAATCGTCAATTCGGCAAGACGCCGGAGGCTACAGATGTGTCGCAGAGAACGCGTACGGAGCCGCAAGGACCACTTGCGACGTTACCGTAATCCGTAAGTGTACTGTAATTTGTGTTTGGGAAAATAGGCTTTCGTCATCGTTGCTGTGAGAGAACTTTGATGTTGAAATGGTTCTCATGGACGGCATGTCCCAGAAGTCGTGAGCCAATCAATAATGGGGGACAGCGGTTTTTGGGTACAAAATAGACTATGTACAACTTATCGATTTATTCTATTGATTGTTGATTATTGTCGGCAATAGATTGAGTACAACAGATTGCGTATTCTTTCACTACGCGTGAAGGCAAAAACAATGCTCTTTTGTCAATTTATAGGTAGCTCAGAATTGGAGGGTTCGTTCGTTTTCGTTTTGCTAGTAGAGTGCCGATATATTGATTTATTGATTTTTGGTATTAGTTAGATTTTGAATAGCTCTTCTTTCCTTTTTTGTGTGATTTCAACGATAGCTTGATACTTTTTTATTAGATACTTTTTTTATTGAATCAGACTTTTGTAGCTGAGATCATCGTAAAACCGATCGATATCGATTCAGAGAAAGAACGAAAACCTATCACGGACTTCGATGCGACCATGAAAGAAGGAAAAGCACCAGGATTTACTGTGCCTCTTACAATTCGACGAGCAAAGCCGGGCGCCGATGTCACGTTCGAATGTGTTCCGTACGGAAATCCGTTCCCACAGATCAGGTGGTTGAAGGTGAGTACTGTACCGTGATCATGGTGAGGATCAGCATCATCTGGGAATTGAGAGAAGTGGGGGTTAATTGAGAAGCTGACCTGCCTGGGAAGGAACGAACAGAAGTGCAAAACTCGATAGGATGGAGGGTCGGATGACTATGGTTACGATTTGAACCTGTGGGTTTCCAACCAATAGATTCAGAAACCTATTAATTCATCAGGGGGCGTGATTAGCCTGTTGCATAGCCCGCCAGAACGGCGCTCATGCCGGGGAGGG